CAAAGTATTGGTCATGTTTTCTCTTCTACACTGTAACAATGAAATAAGCTTGTCTTCCTTGTATTATCTTGGTAATATGATGTGTACTGTTGTTGTTTTGTAAGGAATTGTTCTCTCAAACTTTGTCGCATGTTATGCATGCAAGCGCACACAAATCTACTGCAAAATTTTCTCTTGAGAACCCCAGGAGCCAAAAAGCGTTGGAGCTGCCGCTGCCCGTAGTTCTTTATTTAATCTACTTTGTAAGGAATTCAAGTTACAGGAAATCTTTGTTTGTCCAGGGCAAATCTTCATCTCAGTGGAAAGCCAGTGAAGCGCTACTAATAAAATTGTGCAGGTGGCTTTTTCATGGGCTCATTAAAAGCTGGAGCATGAGATAATAAATACTGTTCTTTCCCGTTGTTAATATGGATTAAAGAAATATTACTTAAATGGAAAAGTGTATTTCTCTCTTAGATACAAAGGCAGAATAACTGGGTTTAAGGGAAATATTTTTATACATGCATTTTTTTTTTTACTGATGCAACTGAAAACAGTTTTGCTCTGAAAGAAAGTAAATGCAGGTTTAATTTAGATTTAAGCAGAATTGCCGTCTCTTGTAGATTATATAGCTAGACAAGTAACTACAGTGCTGTGATGTTGTGTTCCAAGGCTATCGAAATACTATGTGAATAGATCATCTGGAACAGAGAATGGAGAACACTTTGTTTTCTTTTACCTCTTGATAATTTTGAAGTGCTCTAAAAATGTAGCAATCCTAAAATTGACCTTTCAAACAGAATTTTCCCACAGAGATTGTATTGGAGTGACATACTTTTTGTTGATGCAAGTGATCTTTTATTGCTAGAAAAAGAGAAGAATTGAAGGATCTACCAAAGCTTTTTTTTTTTTTCCTCCTTTTAGAGGATGACAATAGTAAAACTTTTGTGTGCGTGTACGGAATTCCCCAGTATGAGGAGCTTCTGTAAATCACAATGAACAATTCAAAAGAAGTAAACAATTTGCAAAGGATGCATATTGTTCTGCAGATGTTGCCCGTTTCCTAGCACTTCTGGTTGGGTGAGGCAGATTCTACAGATGCAATGTCTGATAGCAGGATTATTTAGTTTCATTAACTGTGGTCTTTAATTAGTATGGATACAGTATGTTAAGGGTAGAAAGGCTGGCTTCCTGCTACTTCCTAGTCTTAGATCACTGCTGTCATATGTAGTACATCACGCAAGTTGTCTGTTTTGCCTACACCCACACGTGTTTATTGCAATGTACTGACAGGACAGTGTAGAATCTGTTTTAGTTTAGAATAAAGCTTTCTGCTGTTTCAACAAGGAATTATGTTTACAGACACAGTTGAGCCCTTTATTCTGCCCAGAGTTTTAAGTTTGTGCCCATATATGTTTAGCATTTCTTGTTTCTCTTTTGGAGAGCTTTTCTGGTGTGAAGGATATCAGCTGTAGGATGCAGTGGTGAGGCAACATGAAAAGGCCAGCGTGAGAGTTGTCCCACTGTCCAGTGCCCCATGCAAACACAAAAATGATGATCCCCTCCAGCTTCAAAAAGCTAAATGAGTGACTGCAAGTTTTCAGTTTCAAAAAAAGGCTCGAAAACCATTGGTTGTTGAAAGCAAAAACATTGCTTCTGAACAAATAGAGCCGCCCCACTCCTCCTGCTACCTCAAGTCCGAGGCATGCAGCTTGGACCCTTTGCAGCCCCACTCGCAGCACAGCACAATTCTCTGCTCTCCAGGGGCTGCTCCCCTTTCCAACCGCTGCAGTGGAGGGTCTCTCCCTGCTCTGCACCCCCATCCATGCCCCAGCCACCTCCCTGCTGCTGCTGCCTCCCTGTAGCCTGGGGCAGTCTGATTGGCCAGTTTGTGGATATGTCTGTGCTGTCAGGCTAGCTGGGTGTGCCTGCCAGCCTGCCAGGAGGTGTTTGTGTTCTGATTGGCCAGCTGTTGCCTTTCGCCTCTGGGAGGCTGCATGTAGCCATCTGCAGTGAGCAAACTCGCTCCACCAGCCTTTCCCATCAGCTCTGAAACAGAGGGTGCATCAGGGGACCGTCCTGGTTACTGCCTTACTCCTCGTTTTCACTCTGATTTTCAACACATTTCCTTTGAAGTGGCTATTGTACAACTGTCAGGTGCCTCATGCAATAGGCCTACAACACGCAGAAAAAGTGGACTGTCTGAATAAGTTAGAAGTTATTTGCATATACAACAGCTCCAGGATCTGCTCTTCTTGTTCTTGGACAAACAGCCAAGAGCAAATTCCATTCAGTGCAGGATATACAAAATGGCGCTTCATATATCTGTTGTCAACATTAGCAGCTTTAATAACAGTATAACTCAGTGATACCTAGACCCATCTCAGTATATGCTATAATAGTATCAGGAGTGTCTGGTTAAATGAGGTAATAACACCTTGTCAGAAAAACTATCTAGCAAATTCAGGGAGTTGGTACCCTCACATCACAGGGCTTGCTGCTCTTTATAGTGCTTGCCTCCCTTAATGCTAGAGATAGAGAGCTCCCTACCTCTTCTCCTCCTTATGTACTGCAGTTGCTGTTTTCTACTTCTAAATTGCAGTACTGATATCCTTTTGTAGCAGCTAAGAGCCACAGCCTGATATCTGTATTCTGTGTGCACAGTTCCATTGATGCCAGCAGCAAGTGACCACTGCAGGAAACAGGATAACAGAATATTGCTGGAAGTGAATAATGTTCCAAAGGTGAAATCTTGACTCCAGGGTAATCGCTGGCAAAATGCCCATTGACGTCAGCGAAGGCAAGATTTTAGCAAGAGCGCACGGTCCAGAGGCTGAAACCAGGGGCAGCAGGCAGAAGCTGTCTCAATGTATGTGTCTGGTTTCCCTTTGCTGCAGATATATGTAGTGTTTATTCTCTTCGGAGCTCAGTAAGGAACAGTTTTCTGTCCCACAAAACTTTTTAGCATGCACACATATGCGCTTGCACATGCACCCACAACACATTCCAAAACAACTGTGTTCTACAGCAAGATGAAACCAGGAATATTACAAAAACCTTGCAGAAAGCCACTTATAAAAGGGGTTCAGAGGTGATCCAGAAAGTCTGACTTGCTGTCCAGCAGGTTTGTGGAAACTACACTGAACAGCAAAATTAATACGCAAATGGATAATTACCGTCAATGGGAAGCATCAACCTAACTTTAGAGAAAAAGAGTATGTCTCGGAGGAGCGAATGAGCCCATGTAGAAGTATAGTCAGTATAATGCACTGGAATTTTTGAAATGTTTTGATAGGATTATCAAAGGCTATTAAAGAAACAAGGCTGTCATGCGATGAGAAGGAAACTCGCTTTATGGATTAATAACTAGAAAGCAATAAAAATAAATGGTTGACTTATCAGTGGGAAGAGGTTGCCTGTGAAGTCCCTCAGGGATCTGTGCTGGAATCTATGCTTTCACCTTCTTCAAGGATGACCTGCAAAGATGTTGAATAGTGGGGCACAAAGTTTGCTGATAACAGAAAAACTAAGAGCTGGCAACAGGGAACTACAGAAGGCTGTTAAGATGCTCTGTACTGGGTGAAAAAGTGGTAGGTGAAGTTCTGTCACTAGATGCTAATTAATGTTCACAAAACAACACAAATTATGTAAACGTACATGCTGATGAGCTCCAAATTAGCGATTGCCTTTCAGAAAAGCGATCTTGATTCTAGTGTAACTTGCTAAAAGTGTCAGCTTAGTAAGCAGATGTGAAAGCAATTAAAAAGTTGAATTTTAATAAGAAATCACCATTAAATCTGTGATGTGTCTGCATCTGTAATACTGCCTGCAGTTTTGGTTACCTCATTTCGAAAAGGATTTGGTAGAACTTGAAAAGGCGCAGAGAAAGGCAGCAAGTATGATCAGAGGCATCAGAATGACTTCCATAGAATGAGACAAACTATATAAACTGGGATTGTTCAGTCTAATTAGAGACTGCTACTGAGAATGGTGTTTATAAAGTCAAGACTATGGGGAAGGTGGGCATTGAAGAATTATTCATAAATGTTCATAGTTCAAAAACTAGGGACCATGCCTACAATGAACATACTTTTTTTTTCCTATCTTAACCAATGCGTAACGAAATTGTGAAAGGCTCGTCCGCAGGATCCTACAAAGGCTGAAGATACAAGTGGACGCAAAATGAAATTGAACGCAGTCACAATGGATAGGGTCAGTGTTGACTGTTAAACACAGTGAACCAGCTGCAACATCCAAATCAAAAAATCCCTAAATGTCAGAGTGCCAAAACTTGGGAGAGTGCAGTAGGGAGAGCAAACTTCTGAACTTGCTCTGCTTCCCTAAGTATCCATTATCTGCAGGACTACTGGACTAAAGGAAACGGATCTGATACAGCAGTAGCAGCTCTTAATGTTACGTGTGCTTGTATTCATAAGCCTACAAGACATAAGAGGTCAGAAGAATAGACCTGACCATCCAGTAGATGTGCTCTTCGATGCTTAGAAACTTCATCTCGGATCTAGGAAGCCCAGATTCTAGCTCCCTGTTCTGGCTGGATCAACAAGGGACCCTAACACAGATGTCCCATAGCTTGAGAAATTTCTCTCCAGGGCGTGCATTGACATCACCCTCATTGAAAGGGAAGGGAATGGGGTAGAAAAGAGTAGTATAATTTCTTTTATCATCTGTTTCTCTAGCTGGTATCAAGAAATGAGTATTCAGTGGGTTTTTTTAGCCTGTCTTCGGTGATATAGAAAGTTACTTTCAATTTGTTTTAATTACCTTTATTTTGTTAATTTCACTGCTGCCTCCACTCTTTCAATGGACACATCTTTTTCTTAAATAGTATGTATCAGTAGAAGGTTTGATTTATACATATTTTTACTACTGTTTTGCAGCTTGTCATATTCTTGGCCGTTTGTACACTGGTAGGAAATGTCTTCCTGTTACAGATTATCTAGAAAGGTTGCGCTACCCTTTCTTCCTTTCATGTTTCATTTTTATTTTCTTTGCTTCTGTAGATGACAAAGTCCACAAGGGAAGGATCCATCCAGACATGCCTAGTGCCACGACCAGGTTTGTCAGATGGAATACCTCAGTTCAGCCTCCGATTAACAGGCAGTAGTTCGTGTTTGGAGGAGATGGATTTAACAGATGAAGTCTCCTGCATGAACAGTGCTGCGTTTTTCTCCAGGTTAGTGCTCCGTTTTTGTATTTGTTTCCTTGTTTGTTTTCCTTACTTGCTACATGGGCTGCAGTCCAGCTCTGAGCATTTTGAACACATTTTTTTCCATCACTGCCTATAAAAACAGCATGCTGTGATGCAAGGCAGAATAACGGATGTAACCCTGCTGAAGCCATGTGTTCCAGTGTATGCCCAATAAAACCAGACGTGTGCTTTAGTTTGCCTTTCAAGCGTGTGCCTTGCAAACATATGAAAGCGGCCTGCTTGGTGAAGGAGTGCAGCTGGAAAGGACTGACCTAAAGTCAGACACTAGAAATGACACTGAGCACATGAAAGATGCAACCAAAATGTAGGTGTCTTCCCTGAGTATTTAAGCATATTTGATTTGCCTAGTTTAAGTCTTAACAGATAGCTGACTTTACTCCCATTCTCAAACCAAGAAGGGAAGCTGCCTTACAGAATTTTTAGCTTTCCGGCAGGACTGATGAGACTGCTACTGTTGTTCAGACAAGACAGAGAATGAAAGAATATTTGAATACCTCTAGTTTTAATTGATGTCACTTTGCCAGTGAGAAGGTGAACAGGTCTTACGTCAGTGAAGGGCAGTTGGATTTCTTGTAAAGTATTTCCCTGAATTCTGGTCTGAACCAGTATCTTTTTGTTGTTCTTAGGGCGGTGAATTCTCTCGTTCCCTTTCTTCTTGTCGCTAGTGCAAAGCATGAAAGATTAAGGTTACTGTAGGAAATTGGTGTATGCAACTGAAAAATGAGGTTGGCCTAATGTGGGGAAATAGTGCTATTTGCATGTCATGAAACACCACACTGCAATGTCTCTGCATACCAGTGCAGAACACAAAGCAGAGGCAATGCTGCCAGTCATGTAACTGAGTGACTTCACTATGTAAGCAGGAGATGGGGTGCTATTCTCAGCACTAGCACAGACAGACGCCACTCAGTTTACAAGACAAGTTACCAAGTTATGCACTAACACCAGATTTTGAGTCATAATAATGATGGTGAAACACAGATGTTAAATTCGTTTTCTAGCCCTTGCAGGCACACATCCTCTTCAACCTCTAGCTGTCAGCTGTACAGTTCGCTGTCCCCCACCCTGCCCCCAAACTTCTGCATTCAGAACTATCAGGTTAGCTTAGACATGTTTTTGTTAATCCAGCTCCTTTTAACTGAGATGAGTTAGGAAGCAATTACCAAAGCAGGTCAGTTGGCAAAACTGAGGAGGCAGTACATTTCCACTCGCTAGACAGGGCCAAACAGGTGGGGCAGGGCCAGAAGTTCTGGCCTCCTGCACTGGTATGCTAGAGCTGGCAGAGAGTGTGTCCCTGCCTGTACTCTGTTATGTGTTGCAAGGTGTAAAGGAAAATCAGGTGCTCAAGAGTTGAAACAAAGAACTACTGAGTTTCATGCCTGAGAAGGTATGTGTGACTAACATACTTAATGAGTTGTCCAAAAAAATGTGTTTCTTTTGAGAGAGTTTTATATATTGCAATTGTTGCTCTCTCAAAGAAGTATAAAGTAGTCACCATTATTTTAGTAGAGCATTCCCCCAAAGAGGTAATTATTTGTTGTAGGTATTCATACTTTTCTGTCAGGACGTAATTCCTCGGAAAAGTACTGCTGAAGCACGCGACAGTTGATCTGATACTGGCTACAGAACGTTAAGCACCGAATGAAGTGTCTTTGTAATTAGGGAATCTCCATGCTCGGGCCTCAAGATGAAAGATGTCTGCATCTCTGATTTTGTCAAGGAAATGAATTAGCTGTAGAAACGAGCTCTCTGGTAATCCCATTTTGTTCAAGAATGCCCTAGCTTTGTGTCCCATATCGCACTTGTCTACGTATTTACCTAATGGGATTGAGTTTGTAGCTGCTCTCCTGTTAGCTTCCAGTGCTTTTCTGTCAGTGATCTCTTACTGCTACTGCTGAGAGAGGAGTAGGCAGGTTTTGCTGTTTTCTGCCCAGCTCGGGGATGGCAGGTTGTGAGGCAGGGTAGGGTGGAGAAGAGCAGCCCTTGAACAACACTAAGAAGAAGAGGGGAGGGGGTCTCTAGAAGAGCAGATGGGTAGGGTAGACCAGTGCTCTGAACGTCAAAAGAAAAGGGGAGGGGAAGAGTGAAAGACCTGCAGCTATTTAATGGCCTTCTTCATGCCCCCAAACAGCACGTGGAGGGCATTCCTGGCCACATTGGGGATAAGAGGCCTCTCAGAGTCTCCCCCAGTAATGAACGTGGGACGGGGACACAGCAACAGCTGGCAGGGAGGAGCTGGTGGTGCGCTGCGGGGTTATGGGGCTCCCTGTAACACACGTGGGGAGCAGCTGTTTGTGAAACAATCAGAAACCCTGATTCCCTGGCATTAACGTAGCCCTGTGATATATCCAGAATGTTTTTAAACATTCTTTTGGCAGTCTTGTGTCACTTCTGTGGAATCTAATCTCACAGCAAGGTATAATCCGGTATTATCTCAGTGCAAGGGTACATTAGGAGTTTTCACCTGTTTGAGCAGAAGGACTCTGGCATCTGATCTAGACTATAACGTGCTTTGCAAACAAATTGCTATTATTGTTGGGATTTTTTCTGTCACAAGGTACTAGCAGTTCTTAAATGTTATCATTGCATAATTATATGTAATTATCAGATATGTTTTAGTGAAATGACTGTATCTGCTCAGCTGTCGTATGATCTTGTTAGAAGAGAATAAAGGTTGTTCTTGGCAATGATGATCCTTTACTGTTTCATGAAAATGCTTGTGGTTTACTCCCTTTCCATGCTCAGATACAATGATATGGATGGATTAAAAGAGGATGAAGGGCTACACATTTGATCTAGTTACTCATAGATGCAGAACTCCACATTAGCAGGCTCACAAGTGTAGTTGTGAAGAAATAAGCACACAAACTAAGCATATAAGAGGCCCCAGCAAAGACTGTAATCCTTAATACAGATCAGTCATTGTCAGTTATTTTCATTTGACATTAGAGAAAAGGTTTTCAGAGAGAAAATATGAGATTTCTGGTTGTCTAGTAGTATTTTTGGTACTCTTTAAAATAACTCTGAGTAAGTGTCTTTATATAGTGAACCTTAAAATGAAGATCCATGTATTAAGTACCAGGTGCAATTATGACTGTGTCTTATAGAATGGCTTACTGGGTTTTTTTTAATATTGAAAGATATATATTATGCCTCTTTAATAGTTATGACATTCCTCATTGCAGGAATCTTTTGAAGGTGCTGCTGTTATTTGAAATATGTGAAATATGAGTTGCCGTCAAAACATATAGCAGAGCATAACATCTATATTGCCTGTTGTCCCTTCCTTACTCCTTCTGTTGATGACTGTTGATTTTAAGAAAGTTGTGCTGTAAAGTTGATATGTTTTTTTCTGACCAAAATAGATGGAGTAATTGTATATACCCATAATTTCTGCCAGTACATAATGTGTGTGTTCCCTCGAGAATTACCTCATTATTTTAGCTATGTGCCAAGGACAGACTGCTTAGTATGCAGCAGCAGAAAACATACCTGTAATTCATTCTTTGAGCAAATCCCAAAACACTGAAAAAAAGGGAAGAAAGGAAGAGGGGTGGAGGCCGAGTTTGGTCCTCTGGAAGAAGGATGAAAGCTTGTATTCAGTAAGCAGACTATTACATATTTCTTTGAGACTTCTCTCGTTTTTACAGTAGCTCCTATGCAGAGCTTTAGAGCAGGGCAGCCAAACTTGTGGACTGTGGGAACCACATACCATATCTTTACCTGGCCAAGAGCAGCAGGACCCACACTGCACACCTCGGGAGTTGTGGGAGGCAGCAGCTTTGGAAATAGTGTGTAGGCAGCAGAGGATGGGGTTCCCTGGGGGCCTTACGAGGCAGGCCCTCAGTGAGATGGGGCTAGGGTGAGATTGCAGCTGTGTGAAGCTCAGAGCCCCAGTTTGGATCCCTTTGTGCAAAGCTCTGGCTCAGGCATGCTCCAACTTAAGTGCTTTGAATGAGAGGCTCAGACGAGTTTTGTTTCAGGGACAGGTTGTACTAAGCTTCTAGATGGCTACAAAGGTAGGAAGGCTTGTTAGAAGCAATGTTCTTAGCCTGTTTAGCCTTCATGCTAAACGTTCTATATTCTGAATGCAACAAGCAAAGAAAAGGGGAAGCGTTCGGGTGGGAAGGAAGATGCTTCTTGCAGCCAGAACGTGAGGCAGGAGACTGTTGTTAGTAAGGAGAAATTCCTTCCCTGGTGCCGGATGCTTGCTGCTTGCAGATTTTTGTTGTCACCATCCTGACTCTATTGCCCCTGGAAAGGGTATTGAAATAGGCTTTACTGTATATTGCTGTTCTAATACTTGCCAGAGCTTCATCTCTCTGCAGTCCTGGTACTGTTTTCAAGAGAGATGCTTCTGTGGAAGGACACACTGTTGTTTGCCCTGTTTTTAGGCTCTGTGCATGTTCCCTAGGTGAAACTATTGATGTAAGGAGTGTTACCAGGCACCTTCTTGTTAGTAACAATCAAGTGCTGGGGAACGGGAGCATGCATGGCAGCTGGTGCTCAGCAGCCAAACTTTTTGAAAGGCACTGAGCAGTTCCTGAGAGCTGAAGCGTTAGAGCAACCATAGCAATTGCTCCCAGAGTAAGCAGACTTCTCTAGCGCTTTCTATCCATCTCTTTGTGTGCCAAAGATGATAAATTCCTGTTCTGGCCGCAGTTGCAGCTGCGATGAGATTTGCCAGTCCAGCTACCCTGTTGTGGCTTCCTAGCAAGCATGTTTTCAAAGAGAAGGTTTGTTTGTATCAACATTTCGTTCACAAAGATCCTTATATCTGGCCTACCTCTTGCAAGTGGAGGGGTCGCATGCCGTAATGGCCTCCCCAAAATTAGGGGTGGGTTTGTGTACCCTGCTGCACCCTGTTCTTAAGGACACTGTTTGCATGTTCTAGCTGTTAATTGCTGGGGTATGAAAACATATATTTGTACACTGAGAAGTTTGTGCTTACTATAAACACTCTC